ATCTGCAAGTCCTAGGCTCTGTGGTTTAACCCACAGCGCCACCCGCGTCCCTACATATCGAGTGCTGGTACTCAACTGCATGAAGTAATGTAGGACACTGTTCTTCAACCTTAGGTCCCCAGATGTTGTTGGAACTACAACTCCCATCATCCTGTCCCGTTGGCTAATCTGGCTGTGGAAAAGAGGTGGCTGTGGAAAAGAGAGAAAGGATGGGATGGGGCTCTCTGGAGTGTTGAATAGAATCATAGTTGGAAGGGACCCCCCAAAGATCATCTAGTCCAACCCCTGCAGTTCAGGAATCACAGCTAAAGTTGCCCTGACAGGTGACCATCCTACCTCTCCAAGCATCCATGAAGTCTCTGAGCCCTTGGTCTTGAGCTGGTTATCTTTCTCTCCCTTGGAAAAAGTACACAGAGCTGAAGTTGGAAGAGCAACACTCTTTCCCACTTCCTCTTCCAACTCTCTGACATTTACCCAGATCCCTTGGAAACGCGAAGTATGTGTGTTCATCCTTTTCACTCTTGGGAGTAGCGATCTACGGGAGGGGATCAAAAGTGGTTAATCTGGTTGTGGACGATGGGAGTTGTAGTCCACATTGTCTGGAGCAGTGTTTCCCAACCTTTTTTGGGCAAAGGCACACTTGTTTGATGAAAAAAATCTTGAGGCACACCAGCATTACAGCCCCGTGACGTCAGCGCGCAGCGTCACGCCGGGAGGGAAGGGCGCCGGGGCGCTGCTGCTGCTGCTGCCGCCGCCGCTCCCGGCAGGCATGGGCCCAGCTGAGGCGGCGGTGGCTGTTGTGGTGGTGGCGGCGATAGCGGGCGGAGGAGGGGGCGGCGGCGGGGCCGAGGTGGCCGGCGGCGGCGGGGGAGGCGGCGGCGGGTGGAGCAGGAGGGCGGCCGAGGCCGGTGAGGGAGTAGGGTTGCCCGGGGCTTGAGGAGCCATCGCCGGGAGTTGCTGCTGCTGTTGTTGCTGCTGCTGCCTGGACATGCCGGCCTCCTCCTCGTCCGCTGTCTCGCGCTCCTCCCTTTTGTGCGCGCTGCCCCGCCGCCGCCCCATTGGCCGGGTCCTGTCAGCTGATCCTGTGTTATTTCCTGTGTGTGTGTGTGAGGGGAGAATGGAGAGAGAAACCTCGGCACCACCACCGCGGAGCCGCCCCCGGCTCGACGCGGATCCTTGCCGCCGCCGCCCCGCCTCTCGCCGCCCGCCTCCCTCCCACGGCACACCAGGCAACGTCTCGCGGCACACTAGTGTGCCGCGGAACACCGGTTGGGAAACACTGGTCTGGAGGGCAGCAGGTGAAGGAAGCCTATTCCTCAACTTGGGAGTCCCCAGATGTTGTTGGACTATAACTCTCATCATCCTTTCTCATTGGTTGTGGGCGATGGGGTTGTAGTCCGACACCATCTGGGAACCCAAAGTTGAAGAACACAGCTTTAGGATACTACTCCCTGGAAGAACCTTTGGAAACTTTGCTAGGAATGTGCTCACTTGGAGAGCTGTTCAGTGGCCACGTTTTGACTCATGTTTGTTAACAGTCACTGGCTGAGTGGTGGGAGTGATGCTTCAAACTCCTTGGGCTGCATTCAGCCAACCCACTGCACTGGCAGAAGTCACCACAAAGATTCCCACAGATGCAACAGGAATTCCTCTCCTCCCTCTGCCCACACTATCCCCAAATCTGCTCTGGAGGGTTGGGGGAAACCCAAAACCATGGTCTTTCAGGTCATAGTACACCATACTGACTCTCCAATTTCCTGTCTGGAGTCAAAGGGATAGAGTGGAATACCAGTCCAAACGTGCCCCTCAAAAATAGATCTGGTTGGTAGTCGAAGTCTAGGAAAGCATCAAGGTACACAACAGCTTATTTGGGGTGGGGGCAGCCCAGCCATGATATCCACCAGTGCAGTCCTGCTAAGTTAATTTCTTCCAGCTGTAACCTGCTGCATAGCGTTATTCCAACAAACCAGTTACTGCAATGCAGTGTTTCAGCGGTGAGTAGATGGATGCCTGAAAGTGATATTATGATTAATGCATGAATAATAATATATATATATAAAACATTTTGTGTCGTTTTGGAGCCCTTAATTGTGTTCTTCCTCCTAAAGTACCTCTCCTACAACTTCAAAGTAATATGATTAGACTCGAATCCAATAACATTACCCTTTGCCTCCAGCCGCCTAGTTGGGGTGTGTGCACGCACTGTGTATTAGTCATCGGTTGAAGGTTAGCGTTCAATCATTCATTCGCTGAAAACAGAAAGACATCTGGAACCTGTTTCTGTCTTGCAAGGCTGGACAAGCCTGTGTTTTGGATCTCATGGAGGAGAGAGAGGCAGGGGGTGGCCGTGGCCATGAAAAAGAGAGAGGATGGGATGGGGCTCTCTGGAGTGTTGAATAGAATCATAGTTGTAAGGGACCCCCAAAGATCATCTAGTCCAACCTCCTGCAGTGCAGGAATCACAACTAATTTTGCCCTGACAGGTGGCCATCCTACCACTCCAAGCATCCATGTCAGGGGTCAAGGGTGATTTTAAGGTGATTTGGGGGTCTGCAGAGTTGGGTGGGTAGCCAAAGAGGAAGACTGCTTATTCTGTAAGGTAAAGGGACCCCTGACCATTAGGTCCGGTCATGGCCAACTCTAGGGTTGCGGCGCTCATCTCGCTTTAGTGGCCGAGGGAGCTTCCGGGTCATGTGACCAGCATGACTAAGGCACTTCTAGTGAACCAGAGCAGCACACGGAAATGCCGTTTACCTTCCCGCCAGAGTGGTACCTATTTATCTACTTGCACTTCGTGCTTTCGAACTGCTAGGTTGGCAGGAGTAGGGACCGAGCAACGGGAGCTCATCCCGTCGCTGGGATTTGAACCACCGACCTTCTGATCAGCAAGCCCTAGGTTCTGTGGTTTAACCTACAGCGCCACCTGCTTATTCTGTACCCAGGGGCTATTGGGATGCAAGTTATGTATTGTTATCTTTCAAACATAGAAAACTGTGCATTTAGAAAAGACATTCCAGCAGGGTCTTAGCATTTGCTTCTAGTAGATCCCAGCAGTGGATTCTTTTCCAGGTGGCCAAACAGCACACAATCTTCTGCAGTGGGGTTTCATGGAGATTTGTAGCACTTGGAGCTTGCTATTCAAATGAAGATTCACCTGGCAGCATCGGAGCAGGGTTTGGGCTGCAAGGAAGGCCCCTCCCCTATGGATCTCAATGCATGTGACTCCACTTTTCCTCCTACACAGCTGGAGGCAGACTTCGAAACTTATAGAAGGCAATATAAAAACCAATTAAAAGCATAAGAGTACAATATGAACTCACTCGGCTGAAATAGCAAAATAACGAGTCTGATAAGAGCAGCCCTGTTCCCCCAAAGCCAGTGCAAAATGATGGGCTTTGTGCCTCTCCCTTAAAAAGAGATGTCTGTAGAGCACCTCTATTACTGATTGTTCTCACGGAGGTAATCCTGGCAAGTTTATGAGGAATATCGGTCTTCCCTGGGTTGCAATTTTAAAAATGATTTACAGTGAGCTAACCAATACGTGGGTCAGATTCCCAAAATTGTCGCAAAGTGGTTTCATGTTCTTAATAGCTCAGTTTGCACATATAATGACAAACCAGCCTGGTATGTTCCAGCCCTTTGGGGCGACAATTCTCAGCAGCCCTGGCCGGTAAGGCTGTGTGATGCTGATAGGAGTTGTAGTCCAAAACAGCTGGACGGCACCCGGTGTGGGTTGTTATTACCCGCCCTTCACCCTAAAGTCCCTGGGTAGGTTACAATGATTCAAAACACACCATTAAAACAGTTTAAAACAACTGTGTGGTTGCTAGTTACAGGTAGGTAGCCGTGTTGGTCTGCTGTAAGGTAAAGGGACCCCTGACCATTAGGTCCAGTCGTGACCGACTCTGGGGTTGCGGCGCTCATCTCGCTTTACTGGCTGAGGGAACTGGCGTACAGCTTCCGGGTCATGTGGCCAGCATGACTTAGCCACTTCTGGCGAACCAGAGCAGCGCACAGAAACACCGTTTACCTTTCCGCTGGAGCAGTACCTATTTATCTACTTGCACTTTGACGTGCTTTCGAACTGCTAGGTTGGCAGGAGCAGGGACCGAGCAACAGGAGCTCACCCCATCGCGGGGATTCGAACCGCCGACCTTCTGATCAGCAAGTCCTGTGGTTTAACCCACAGACACAGAATTGACCTGTGCCTCCATGGACAGCTGTGAGTCCAGAATGACTCCCAGGCTGTGCTCCTGGTCCTTCAGGGGCACAGTTACCCCATTCAGGACCAGGGAGTCCCCCACACCAGCCCACCCCCTGTCCACCAAGAACAGTACTTCTGTCTTGTCAGGATTCAATCTCAATCTGTTAACCGCCATCTATCCTCCAACCGCCTCCAGGCACTCACACAGATTGTGGGATGTGGGGGGCAGCTAGCAGGGCATGGAGAGGATGGTGGAAGTCCTTGCGCTAACTAACAGTCAGTATCTTGGTTTGTACGTCCAAAATGGGGGGTGGGGGGTGGGAAGAGACCTGCGGAGTAGGTTTAATTCTTCTGCGGAACAGGATGTACGAAGCAGCCTCGGCAAACGTAGGGGCATCTTTTTCAAAAAGAAAAATGCCCAAGAAGATACCCTCCCTCTCCACGGCCTTTCCATGAGATCGAATTTCAAAACATTCTCCGAAGCCACAGCCATCTGCTAGTGAGATTGGCTGCCAGCCTGTCCGTCAGCGAAAGCTGTCTGCTTCCAGGGCGCCCAGATGATGGGGGATTTGTATTGTAATCAGGCGGTTCTGAATGCAGATCCGTCACAATTGTCGTAAACACAATTTGCCAGCCATATGCTGCGAACCCAACTGTTACAACGAGCGCCAGCCTTGCCAGTTGTGACACGTCTCCTGTTTGGGGCCTCTTTGTTCTTGGACTGTAATATTAACCGCCTTGGCTTAATGTAGCAGAGACCTCACTTATATTTCTCTCTTTTGCATCCCTTCCCAACCCCAACCCCTGTCTCTGACCCGCAGATACTCTGAGCGAAGCCTTACAAAGTGCATTGGCATAACTATAGAGACCCGGCCGGATTACTGCCTGAAACGGCACTTGAGCGATATGTTGTCATACGGCTGCACAAGGCTGGAGATTGGCGTGCAGAGTGTCTATGAGGATGTGGCCAGAGACACCAACAGGTAAGGAGAGGGGGCTTTCAAAGGAGACATCCTTGCTCCTTCTCGCCAAACTTGAGATCCGGTAGCAGGGTCTACCAAAAGCTTTTTAATACTCACATTGGTGTGATACCCAGGCAGAACACAGTTCAAAAGCACAGCAAATGCTACACATGGCTGCACCAGTGATCCCACGTAAAATCATAGAATTGAAAGGGGCTCCAAGGGTCATCCAGTCCAACCCCATCAATGCAGGAATCACAGCTAAAGAATCCCTGAAAGATGGCCATCCAACCTCTGCTTGGAAACTTCCAAGGAAGGAGAGTCCACAGCCGTTACCCTCAGAGAGCCAGCGTGGCGTAGTGGTTAAGAGCGGTAGTCTCGTAATCTGGGGAACCGGGTTCGCGTCTCCGCTCCTCCACATGCAGCTGCTGGGTGACCTTGGGCCAGTCACACTTCTTTGACGTCTCTCAGCCCCACTCACCTCACAGAGCATTTGTTGTGGGGAGGAAGGGAAAGGAGAATGTGAGCCGCTTTGAGACTCCTTCGGGTAGTGATAAAGCGGGATATCAAATCCAAACTCTTCTGCTGGTTGAGGCCTGTGGCCTCTCTAGTCCAGCAGCCCGTTCTCACAGTTACCAACCAAATGCCCATGGAAAGCCTGGAAGCAGGGCCTGAACACAATGGCATTCTCCACTCCTGGGGGTTTCAGTGTGTTGTAAATGAAATCCACCATGCTGGACCAGCCCACAGCTGAAAAAGGTTGCTGACCGCTGCTCAAGCGTGATTCAAACACAAGAGCACTCTCCCCCTCCTTTGGGCACAAGAGCACTCTCCCCCCTCCTCCTTCTTCTTCAGAAAGTTCTTTTTAAAAAAATAATAATCATTTTTCTTTTTCATTCATTACATACATCTCGGATTCTTAACATTTATTATATATTCCTCCCTCCCCTCCAGGGCTTCACCCAACTTCCGCTTCTGGTTTGTTTCTCTTTTCACCCACTTTGCTATCTCCTAACAGAAAAAGTTGTTAATAACATAACATCAAGCCTAAAAACATAAAAATAAAAGTAAATACACCATAATATTTCACTATTTTCTAATAATAATGTGAATGTTAATTTAAATCCTGCCATCAAGTCTATTGACTTTCTTTGTTTCTGCAAATGTAATATAAATAGTCCCCATTCTTTTTCAAAGTCTCTGTTGTCCTTTTCTCTTTATCTGTCATTTTTGCCAGTTCTGCGTAGTTCATCAACTTCTCTTGCCATTGTTCTTTAGTTGGTATTTCTCCAGTCTTCCAATTTTGTGCAATCAATATTCTTGCTGCTGTAGTGGCATACATAAATAATTTCTTCCTCATTTCTTTTGGTATGTCTTGGCCTAAAATACCTCGCAAAAAGGCTTCTGGTTTTTTTACAAAAGTTATTTTCAACATTTTCTTCAATTCATTGTATATCATTTCCCAGTTTTACCTTTTTACAATCCCACCACGTATGATAAAACGTACCTTCTGTTTCACATCTCCAACACTCTTTCTTTTCGTTTTTATACATTTTTGCAAATTTAACCGGTGATGGATACCATCTATAGAAAGTTCTTTTTAAGGTTTAGTCAGAATCTCCTTTCTTGTAACTTGAAGCCATTGCTTCGGGTCCTACCCTTTGGAACAGCAGGATACAAGCTTCCATGTGACAGCCTTCCAGAGATCTCTCTAACCTGAAAAACCCAAATGTTGCAACCTTTCCTCATAACAGGAGCTGGTCTGGCCACATGGTGATTTTGGCTGCCCTTTTCTGAAGCTTTTCCGTCACAGAGCCCCAAAGAGTAAAGGAAATAAGGATTATAAAACGTACACAGGAAGGCGTTAGTCATAACAATACTGAATTAATTAACGATAAGGTAGCTTGATTTGTTTTTTTGCTGCACATTGACCAAATTCCTGGGCTAAAACTCTCCGCGGAATGGCAACGGACAAGATTAGTTCTGCAACGCCACGGAGGGTGGAATTGGCATTTGTTCGCCGCGTCCTTTGTATTCCGGGAAGATGCAGTTCAGAGAAACGGAAGCGGATTTGTTCACCTTCTCAGAGTCCAAGAAAGAGATAAAGTGTGTTTGGTGAAGTGGAAACACTCCCTCCTCTTGGATAATAGCCTGTTGATGGGGAAAGAAAGGATTCCTTGCTAGAAAAGCTGATTGCGTGGGCCAAAAGGGAGCCTTGAACAAGGAGCTCACCCCTAGCGACAGAACTGGCCTACATTGTGTGCCACAAGCTATGAGGCAGAGGTGGAGAACCTCAACCCCAAGGATCAGATGCGGCCCTCCAGGCATCTCTTTCCGGCCCCAGGCTGCCCCCTGTCCCCATCCCTGCGCAGGCGCTTTTGCCAGGACAGGACATGCAGGACGCGTAAAGATGCACACAGGTAAATTCTGGAACTCGCTCCCAAAGGTGGCACTGATGGCCACCAACATAGAGGACTGGGCAAATTCTTGGAGGAGGAAAGGTCTGTCTGTGCCATGGGTAGGCAAACTAAGTTCCGGCTGGGGGCTAGATCCGGCCCAATTGCTTTCTAAATCCGGCCCGCGGACGGTCTGGGAATCAGTGTGTTTTTACATGAGTAGAATGTCCTTTTATTTAAAATGCATCTCTGGGTTATTTGTGGGGCATAGGAATTCATTCTTCTTTCCCCCCAAAATATAGTCCGGCCCCCCACAGGGTCTGAGGGACAGTGGACCGGCCCCCTGCTGAAAATGTTTGCTGACCCCTGGTCTATGATTATGAGTCTTCTGCAGCTCCCAGCAACTGGTGTTCTGGAGCATTGCGGCTTCCAATTGTGGAGGCAGATCATAGCCATTATGGTTTCGGGGAACTCAATAGAGTTAAATGACGGAATGCAGTTTCTTGAAGATGGACTTCTGGCAAGCGATGGGCTGCACCTCACAACGGTTGGGAGGAATGTTTTTGCAAAAAATCTCAGAAACCTCATCAGGAGGGCTTTAAACTGACTAATGTGGGGGAGGGAGACAGTGCTCCTGAAGGTAGGAGGCTATCAATTGATGAAGATGATCATCCAAATGTCATAGACCGAATGGAGCAAAGAGCATGCAGACCTAGTGGTGGGAGGAAAAAATCCTTAAATAAGAGACACGGGGGAATGATTAATGGACTTCAATGTCTGTACACTAATGCGCAAAGCATGGGAAATAAACAAGATGAGCTTGAGCTCCTGGTACAGCAAACTAAATATGACATAATAGGAATCACTGAAACCTGGTGGGATAAATCCCACGATTGGAATGTAATAATGGAGGGATACAATCTATTTCAAAGAAACAGACCAGACAAGAAAGGAGGAGGAGTGGCGTTATATGTCAGGAATGTGTATACCTGTGAAGAGATCCAAGATTTAGAACCTCAAAGCCAAAGTGAGAGCATTTGGGTGAAAATTAAGGGAGAGAAGAATAACAGTGACCTCATTGTGGGAGTTTACTATAGATCCCCAAGCCAAACGGAGGACATAGATGATGCCTTCCTGGAACAGATGGCCAAGCATGCAAAAGGAAGGGAGATAGTAGTAATGGGGGACTTCAATTACCCGGATATTTGTTGGATGTCAAACTCAGCCAAGAGCATAAGGTCAAACAGATTCCTCACTGGACTTGCAGACAACTTCATTGTCCAGAAAGTGGGAGAAGCAACAAGAGGAACAGCCATTTTAGATCTGGTCCTAACCAATGTTGAGGACCTGGTTAGTGGGGTAGAAGTGGAAGGATCATTAGGCGCGAGTGATCATGCTCTTCTGAAGTTTACTATACAGCGGAAAGGAGCAGCCAAGCATACTAGGACTCAATTTCTCGACTTTAAGAAAGCCGACTTCATAAAACTTAGGGAAGTGCTGGGTGAGATCCCATGGACAGTAATACTAAAAGGAAAGGGAGTTCATGATGGCTGGGAGTTTGTTAAGAGGGAGATAGTAAAAGCACAACTTCAGGCAATACCAATGAGACGGAAACATGGAAGGTGCCTAAAGAAGCCAGGGTGGCTATCTAAAGAACTTTTAACTGAGTTAAGATTAAAAAAGGATGTGTACAAAAAATGGAAAAGGGGGGAAACCACCAAAGAGGAATTCAAACAAATAGCCAGCACGTGTAGACACAAAGTCAGAAAAGCTAAAGCACAGAATGAACTCAGGCTTGCTAGAGAGGTTAAAAGCAACAAAAAAGGCTTTTATGGGTATGTTCGTAGCAAAAGGAAGAACAAAGAAACAGTGGGGTCACTCAGAGGAGAAGATGGTGAAATGCAAACAGGGGACACAGAAAGGGCTGAACTCCTCAATGCCTTCTTTGCCTCAGTCTTCTCCGATAAAGAAAGCAATGCCCGACCTGAAGAATTTGGAGCAAATGATTCAGCAGAGGAAACACAGCCCAGAATAACTAAGGAGATAGTACAAGAATACTTGGCTAGTCTAGATGTATTCAAGTCTCCAGGGCCAGATGAACTGCATCCAAGAGTATTAAAAGAACTGGCAGATGTGATCTCAGAACCACTGGCAGTCATCTTTGAGAATTCCTGGAGAACAGGCGAAGTCCCGGCAGACTGGAGGAGGGCAAATGTTGTCCCTATTTTCAAAAAGGGGAAAAGAGAGGACCCAAATAATTACCGCCCAGTCAGTCTGACATCAATACCAGGGAAGATTCTGGAGCAGATCATTAAGCAAACAGTCTGTGAGCACCTAGAAAGGAATGCTGTGATCACCAATAGTCAGCATGGATTTCTGAAAAATAAGTCATGTCAGACTAACCTGATCTCGTTTTTTGACAGAATTACAAGCCTGGTAGATGAAGGGAACGCAGTGGATGTAGTCTACCTTGATTTCAGCAAGGCATTTGACAAGGTGCCCCATGATATTCTTGTAAAGAAGCTGGTAAAATGCGGTATTGACTATGCTACCACTCAATGGATTTGTAACTGGCTGACTGACCGAACCCAAAGGGTGCTCATCAATGGTTCCTCTTCATCCTGG